GGGGGGGGGGAGGGGGCGGGGAGGGATGGAGGGGGAGAGAGAAATAGCAAGAAATAATGTGATCCATTACTTAGTATGTGAGAAGGTGCTGAGTGTTGGGAAATAAACTCAGATTGTGTGAGGGAGGCTGGGACTGTGGGGCAGGCACTTTCCATTTCAAATAGTGAGGTTGGGCCCTGGCCGGTGTGGCTCAGTGGATAAGACCATCGGCCTGCAGACTGAAGGGTCCCAGGTTCGATTCAGATCAAGGGGACATGCCTGGGTTGCAGGCTCGATCCCCAGTGCGGGGCGTGCAGGAGGCAGCCGATCCATGATTCTCGCTCATCATGGATGCTTGTATCTCTCTCTCTCCCTTCCTCTCTGAAATCAATAAAAATAAATAAAACATTAAAAAATGCGAAAATGCATCCTCGTGCTGCTATTCTTGCGGCTGCAGGGTCTCCATCGCCCGCCTGGGTCACATTACACGTTTACTCCTTTTTCAGGTCGTGAAATATGTGTCGGACGCAGTTGCCGCCTCGCCTCGCCTCCGTTCACACGGCAGATGTGTTCTCACACCCCCGCACGGCGCGATCTCCAGCTCCACTAATGCATGTGCTGATCTCGGCTATAAATTACGTACCGTACATAACCAACTATGTGTTTCTTTAAAAAAAAAAAAAAAGATGAATAGGAAGGTGTGGAGATTTATCAGAATTTATTGTTATGTTAAAAGCTTTCTAAAATCTCCCCCAAATCTCCAGCGAACATAAAAGGGGCACGTTTGGCTTCTGACCCGTCTCTCTGATCCAGGATCTTATTCAAGTCGGAGAAAGTGGGTCAGAGCACAAAACATAAAGGCTCTGGATCTCAGGGAATTCCCACTCTGCACAGCACGTCCTCATGCGACGACTCCAGGTTTAACATTACGGACACCACGCCCGGCCGGTGTGGCTCAGTGGTTGAGCACCAACCTATGAACCAGGAGGTCAGGGTTCGATTCCCGGTCAGGGCACAGGCCTGGGTTGGGGGCTCGATCCCCAGTGTGGGGCGTGCAGGAGGCAGCCGATCTGTGATTCTCTCTCATCATGGATGCTTCTCTCTCTCTCTCCCCCTCTCCCTTCCTCTCTGAAATCCATAAAAATATATTTAAAAAGTAAAAAAGGGCAAGAAACCAACACAGGTGCGAGGCTGCTGAGGGACCCCAGGTAAGAGGCCTGGAAAGAAAGGCTCGAGCCTCAGGAGGCGGCGGCTAAAGAAAGATGGAGCTGTCAGGGCTGGGGCTTAGGAAGCGGTTTCTGGGACGCCTTCCAAGTGCATTATCTAAAGAGGAGCCGATCCAAATGGAACCGCTATCACTGCCCACGTTCTGTTTATTTCACGGTATCGGGGAATGTTCGCGCCGGAAGGTATCTCAGACCCGGTGGCACTGCAGGCTGACTCATGTTACAGGGGCCCCAGGAGGTTAAGGAGTGGACAGTCAAGAAAAACACAGCCCACGACTGGCGAATCTAGAAACGTTCAAAACCAGGGTTTTTTTCCTTTTTTTACAAAAAAAAAACATTTGCTGAAACTGGTTTGGCTCAGTGGATGGAGCGTCGGCCTGCGGACTGAAGGGTCCCAGGTTCGATTCTGGTCAAGGGCATGTACCTTGGTTGCGGGCACATCGCCAGTGGGGGGTGTGCAGGAGGCAGCTGGTCGATGTTTCTCTCTCATCGATGTTTCTCTCTATCCCTCTCCCTTCCTCTCTGTAAAAAATCAATAAAATATATTTTTTTAAAAATATTTTATGGAATATATTTATATTCAGAAAGTTTCTCCATTTGTATGTGCTCATTCGAGTCTTTTGCACAACTAGATTGGATATGATTCTTTACTGACACATAGAAGTTTGTTTTTTTATATTCTAGATTCTAAATTCTTGGATGGTTCACATGTATTGCAAATATGGTGTCTTTTTTTTTTAATATATATTTTATTGATTTTTTACAGAGAGGAAGGGAGGGGGATAGAGACTGGGGATGTGCCCGCAACCAAGGTACATGCCCTTGACCAGATTCGAACCGGGGACCCTTGAGTCCATAGGCCGACGCTCTATCCACTGAGCCAAACTGGTTAGGGCAAATATGGTGTCTTTTAATGGCCAAAAGTTTTTTATTTCAATGGACTCAAAGGAGTTAGCTATTCGTTTATGTCTTAGGAAACGTGTTTCTATCTTCAAAGTAGTGAACATGTCAGTTTGGCCCAGCCGGTGTGGCTCAGTGGTTAAAAATTTCCTAACTTAATTTTTACAACATCCTGTTATACATCATTATTAATAACGAACTACAACATTTGCTAATGACTGATGACTATCATCGTGTTGCATTCATTTCCCTTACGCGCCTTACGCGCAGGCGCACCATTTCTCTCCACTAATACCAGCAGCGAATATTTTAGCAGTCGATTATGTGCTTTTTGTAACTATATAAAAGAAAAACTTATTGCGTCGGACGGAACTTGCTCTAATGATACGACTCTAGTCGTGGAGTTCTGATGGTCAGGGGGAAGGAGTCAGTTAGATCAAGCATGTCAAACTCGCGGCCTGCAGGCGGCATACGGCCCACAATGAATATTTTTGCAGCCCATCCAATATAACGGTATGCAAGAAACGTTTTAATAAAAATTTCCTAACTTAATTTTTACATCCTGTTATACATCATTATTAATAACGAGCTACAACATTTGCTAATGACTGATGACTATCATCGTGTTGCATTCATTTCCCTTATGCGCCTTACGCGCAGGCACACAATTTCTCTCCACTAATATTCGCAGCGAATATTTTAGCAGCCGATGGCCACGTCATTCTGTCATTCGTCTTGGACTGACTTGTTTGGCGTGCGAAACAGGAAATATTTCGCTTTCGAAGAACGAGAAAAATAGGTTTATTTGCGTGACGCCTATTCATTTGTGTAGTTATTCAGTATCCGGTAAGTCAATGTTCAAGAACAAATATTCATTTTTACTAGAATGTTCTATTACTTTATGTTAGCGATGACTCACTTACTTCAGCCCTTTGTATTCAGCACGTCTCTACCGAAATAAACCCACGTTTCTATGAACGTGGAAGCTTTTGTGTGTTTTTTGCGGCCCACGTACACTGACACCTTGTTGATTTGGCCCGCGTTAGCCTTTGCGTTTGACATGCTTGAGTGCGATCTTCTACCCGCCCACTCCATCCTTGACCCCCACAGAATGTGACCTTCACAACTGACTTTGGACACAGACAGGTGGCACGGTCTCACCTTGACAGATAAAGACACCAAAGGGCACTAATCCTCCACGGAGGGGGCCCACCCTCACCTGCTTGAACAGCTGCAGGTTCACGGCCGTCTCCAGGAACTGCTTCATCGGGCTGGAGCGGTGCCTCACAAAGCTCTCCTCACAGAAGGTGACCGGCTCCCCCTGGAGGGAGAGAGGAGGTCAGGGTGTCCGTAGGCGGGAAACCGGACAACCAGGGGGTCCGGGCTGCCTGTCGCTACTTGAGCCAACTCAGCACAGACAGGGCTGAATCCTCCACAGATGAGCGTTCATTCCAATAAAGCCGGCAGCGTGGGAGAGCCGCCGTCGGAAATGGTTAGGGGCAAACACAGACTATTGGGGACTAGCTACGACCTCACTGCCCAACAACAGAGCCCCCCCCCAGCCCGCATGGCCGTTCCCCATGCCTGTGATCCCTGCGTCCCCGTCATCTTTGTCCTCCTACCCTACAGAGGCAGCTGGCTATGGGGGGCTGCAGAGCAGATTTTTGTGGGTGACCTGCTGCTGTGGAGGTCAGGGTTCGATTCCCGGTCAGGGCACATGCCTGGGTTGTGGGCTCGATCCCCAGTAGGGAGTGTGCAGGAGGCAGCGATTCATGATTCTCTCTCATCATTGATGTTTCTATCTCTCTCTCCCTCTCCCTTCCTCTCTGAAATCAATAAAAATATATATTTTTAAAAAAGCAGCCCTAGCCTGTTTGGCTCAGTGGATAGAACGTCGGCCTGAGGACTGAAGGATCCCAGGTTCGATTCCGGTCAAGGGCATGTCCCTTGGTTTCGGACACATCCCTAGTAGGGAGTGTGCAGGAGGCAGCTGATCGATGTTTCTCTCTATCGATGTTTCTAACTCTCTATCCCTCTCCCTTCCACTCTGAAAAAAATCAATAAAATAAAAAATAATAATAAAAAAAAGCAAATGCAAATTGAAATCGCGACGCAAGGCAGGCTCACGGGTTTGTATCTCAGCGCGTCTCGGTAGCATCCGAACAGAGCGGCCTGCGCCCTGAGGAAGGCCCGGGCCACCCCGTCCCCCGTGGCCGTGGACTGCTTCTTCAGCTTCGTCTTCAGGGCCGAGACCTGCGGGACAGAGAGGAGCCGTTACATCAGCGGTTCTCAACCTCCTGGCCCTTTAAATACAGTTCCTCATGTTGTGACCCAACCATAAAATTATTTTCGTGGCTGCTTCATCACTGTCATGTTGCTACTGTGATGAATCGTCATGTAAATATCTGATATGCAGAATGGTCTTAGGCGACCCCTGTGAAAGGGTCGTTCGACCGCCAAAGGGGTTGCGACCCACAGGTTGAGAACCGCTGCGTTACATGAACACCTCGGGAACTGGTCCGGGGAGGCTCGGGCCCCATCAGTAGGCAGGCTGACCCCGGCGCCTGCGGGTCTCCCACCCCCACCCACCAGCTCGGCCTCCTCCCCGCAGCTTCTCCCCAGAACGGCGGGAGCGCCTGCTGGCCCGTTAATTGAGGGAAAGCTGGGACCCAGAGTCACGGGCTGATGCACACGGCTCCGTGCGCTCCCTTCTCCTGTCTCCCGAGGCCTCTTGACATCAACGAGCTTTAATTGTTTTACAGGAAACTGCTCGGGAGCCACTTCTGTGCCCATTTTTTTAGCCATTACAACAGGTGTCTACCCGTCTTGAGAGGTGTCTACCCTCCATTTCTGCCCTAAAAGGCTCCTGGTTCCAGGCCCTCTGGGATCCCTTCCCATTGAATCTTATTTTTGGAAGCCTCGCCTACATATGGGATTTTCGGATCCCCCCGACCCACCCGCCAGCTCGGCCTCCTCCCCGCAGCTTCTCCCCTGAACGCGGGAGCGCCTGCTGGCCCGTTAATTGAGGGAAAGCTGGGACCCAGAGTCAGGTGCTGATGCACACGGCTCCGTGCGCTCCCTTCTCGCGTCTCCTGAGGCCTCTTGACATCAACGAGCTTTAATTGTTTTACAGGAAACTGCTCAGGAGCCGCTTCTGTGCCCATTTTTTTAGCCATTACAACAGGTGTCTACCCGTCTGGAGAGGTGTCTACCCTCCATTTCTGCCCTAAAAAGCTCCTGGTTCCAGGTCCTCCGGGATCCCTTCCCATTGAATCTTATTTTTGGAAGCCTCGCCTACATATGGGATTTTCGGATCCCTTGCTGAATAGTTCTGAGCATCTATAATAATCAAAGCGCCATATGCTAATTAGACCAGACGTCCTTCCGGGCATCCTTCCTTCCGGACAAAGCCGCAGCGGGGCGAGGGCCGCGGCAGAATTTCGTGCATCGGGCCTCTAGTTATGACATAAGAAAGGGGAATGAAGGTAAAGTTATTGAGAACCTACGGTGAGTAGAGAACTGTGTTGTGCAAATGGTATACCCGGTCTCGTTTAAATATGTTTTTATTGATGTCAGAGAGGAAGGGAGAGGGAGAGAGGGAGAGGGAGAGAGAGAGAGAGAGAGAGAGAGAGGGAGGGAGAAACATCAACAATGAGAGAGCATCATGGATCGGCTGCCTCCTGCACGCCCCACACTGGGGATCGAGCAGGCGGCAACCGGGGCTCGTGCCCTGACCTGGAATCGAACTGTGACCTCCTGGTTCCTAGGTCGATGCTCAACCACTGAGCCACACCGGCCAGGCAAGAAGGAATATTTTTATTTCCTGACACAAGCGGTCCTGACTCCTCTTGTCGATGTCGGTTGTCACAGAAGGGTCAACCTAATTAACAACTCAACTTTGAATAATGCTAATGAGAGAGGAACACAGCATCCGAGGAAAGACCAGCTCTACAGGTGACAAACCTTCACAGGAGTGACATTTTCCAGGGAAAAGTCACGGTGACTCTGATCTGATCAAAGGGAGGGACCCCCACTGGGTCCAATTATACCCACAGTTTGGAGTAAATGATTGAGTCTGGATATTCATCATCTAGGCAGCAAGGCCTGTGTCGTGTGGGTTGCCTCCCAATAGCTGATCTTTCCCATTTCTACCCAAGCCCCCGAGATGCAGATGAAAGTTGTGTTTTTTTTTTAAGGAATCTGCCTTTTATTTCACGTGTGAATTTGAACAGGGTGGAGATGGGACGTGATTAACATTTTATTTTACTTGTTTAAAATATACTTGTATTGATTTCGGCGGGGAAGGAAGAGGGAGAGGGAGAGAGAAACATCCATGATGAGAGAGAATCATGGACCGGCTGCCTCCTGCACGCCCCACACTGTGGATCCAGCCCCCAACCCAGGCGTGTGCCCTGATCAGGGAATCGAACCCTGACCTCCAGGTTCATAGATCGATGCTCAACCACTGAGCTACGCCGGCCGGGCATCACTGCTTAATTTGTGCTGATTTAGTCTGGGCTTCACCTAGAAATTTCAGGGGCCTCCTTGTACTGTTAGACACAATGAGGATTTTAGCAGAACTGAACTGTGGCAAACCTGGGACGAATGGAATATTCTCTGGGGCCCTTTTTTTTTTCTTGATGACAACGTAACCTATTAAACCTTCATGTTGGATTAGAGGAAAGAGCCAAAGACTTCACCAAGTCTGTTGACTATCTTTAGCTGGGAGAGTGCCGTTTGTTTATCTACTTAACGTTTTTTTTTAAAAAAGCTCATTTAAAACATTCTATGAAAAAGCCCATTCTTTCCCAAACTTATTCCCACATTAATTAACTCACTCGAATGCAACTATCTAAACAATTTATTTAAAGTCAGCGTTGTTGTTGTTGTTGTTCCTAGATCTTTAGTCTTTTCATGGTTTTTGGTGACTGAGAACAATTCTTGCCTTTCTTTTTTTTAAATATTTTTTTTATTGATTTCAGAGAGGAAGGAAGAGGGAGAGAGAGATAGAAACATCCATGATGAGAGAGAATCATGGACCGGCTGCCTCCTGCACGCCCCCTATTGGGGACCAGGCTCGAAACCTGGACATGTGCCCTTGACCGGGAATCGAACCGGTTCAGAGGTCAATGCACTGAGCCACACCGGCTAGGGTGCCTTTTCTTTGTATCACAATAAAAACATCAACCTGTTCCTTCAGGGGCAGCCGAGAGCCTCGAGGGGAGATGCCCGGGATTTTAAACGACTCATTGTATGTCAAGGCCTCTTCAGTGCTTCCGTACGACAGGCACTTCACACACACGTACCGTCCTCCTGTACAGAACGCACCGTGGTTCCAGCGAACTGCACGAGGACTCTTACACGTACCTATTTTCTACACACCCTCCTTATACGACACAGGAAATCATTTTCCAATAGGGCTACAGGCCAGATGAGAATGAGTGGTTCCGACAGTGCAGAAAATCCGGATGTACATCCAATAGGCCATCGTGACGTTTCCGTAACAAGATTGGAAAGGAGAGAAGCTTGGATATGGAATCTTAGAAGCGTTAACTCATGGCCCGGGGAGTCACGGTTATGGGAGAGGGACCGCGGTCTTCCGTGTGGGGCATGCATCCGAGGGTCAAAACCCGTATCACCTAAAGCTCTAAAAACACCATTAATAGCACATTCTCTGCGCCTTCATCTTCAAAACAGGAGACCTGACCTGTCTCAGAGTATATTATTATTATTATTATTATTATTATTATTATTATTGGTATTAACATTCCCATTTGATAATAGAAGATGGTTGGGCACAGATAAAATACAGGATATTTTGATTTACTGAGTTAAAATGAAAGACAGGGGCCCTGACCGGTTTGGCTCAGTGGATAGAGTGTCGGTCTGCGGACTGAAGGGTCCCGGGTTCAATTCTGGTCAAGGGCATGTACCCTGGTTGCAGGCACATCCCCAGTAGGGAGTGTGCAGGAGGCAGCTGATCGATGTTTCTCTCTCATCGATGTTTCTAACTCTCTATCCCTCTCCCTCTCCCTTCCTCTCTGTAAAAAATTAATAAAATACAAAATCGACACATAAAAAAAAAAATGAAAGACAGGGAAGCAATATAGGTCCAAATTCACCTGCCTAGTAATGGACTTTCCGACGCACGTAACTGTCAGATGCCCACTCTAACCTGCTTTCAGGTACAAGAGCGAGCTGACCGTGGTTTTATCTTAACAGTCCCCTGGAGACGGATTTCCTGCATCTCGTCCTGATTCTAATTCGCTTCATTTCCCAGCAGGCGGGTCGCCCTATTTATTTCTGAAATAATAACCACGGTTCAAGGTACCTGTCCAAGTGTCAATGACGATAAAAATTAAAACGCGCAGTAATAGCTTAGAAACACAGTATTTTAAGTGAGTGTGTAATTGACACGAAATGTGTGTTGATATTTGGAATTGGGGGGGGGGGGCAGGGGAGGTGTCTCCATAGTGCATTTTCTTAAACTAAAGTGACCTCATTTGAGATTTCACATGTTCTGTTTAATCAAACTGGTTCTTCTCCCACCCCTGGCTTCAGAACATAACACAGTAACACGAACTTCAACTGGTATTGTTTCTAGCCCTAACATGGCCTTTTTTTTTATTTCCAAACACTCAAACTACATCTGTTTGAAAGTCTCCATATTTGGCACAGCCAATAAAAAAATAAAATCACACACAAAAATTAAAAAAAAAACTAAAACTAAAATCACAATGCCCTCACAGGCCAACATGGCGACAGCCTCTCTGAATGGACCCCCAGCTTTTAAAAGCGACCCCGCGTAATAATCCGTATCGTTAAAATCACTCCCAATCCAACCTGCGCTCCGTTGGCTTTGAGCGCCCCAAATCTGTAGTGAAATGATGAAATCGAAAAACAAGTGTTCGTGTCAGAAGACAGAACGGGAGTTTCTCCCCCAGCCCCACCCCCCACCCCCTTAAGGGACACAAAGGGTCGCTGGACGCCTGGCCCTGATTTATTTCTCCAATTTTGAATTCCTTGAGTAACGGAACTGCTACTGGCAGGGTCGTATTTCTCACAGTCCATAAATCTCCAATATTATGTGTGAATATTGGAATGAAGCCATTAAGAAGATTACAGCGTGCGACGCAGCAGAGGGTCCCCGGGAAAAAAGACGGGTAATTCAGGACAACTGTGACCACTGACCCGGGGCCAGCGCGGCCACTGGGCAGGCGGGCACCTAATCGGGAGCACATGGGCCCGGGGCCTTCCGGACCCGGAGCGCAATTTAAGGGCCCGCTGCACGGTTTTAAAAGGCCCCCGTTGAACTATCAGTTAATTTATTAAACAGCCAAACAAGGCCAGTAGTCCTATGTTTCAGGCTTCGGGTCTAGTTTACGAGCTCCCCATCACACACAGAAGTCAGGATGGTTTTTGACATCACTGAAAACACGGACAGTGACAGGACATAGGGCTTGAGACTTGATCCTGTCATCCTGAAAGCGGAGGATGCAGCTAACTGGGCGAGAGATGGTTAAGCAGTCGTCTGAAATGATTTTAAGACAATGAGTAGGACTTCAAACATCGCAGGCTCGCGGTCTTAGCCCTAGCGCTACCTGGGAGCTATTTCAATTTCTTCTTTCTTCATATTTGTAAGTCCCTGGCCCTTAGCTTCACACACACACACACACACACACACACACACACACATATTTCTGTCTACACCACCTCGCAATGGCCTTCTTAGCAATATTTTTCACTGTTCCACTTATGCCTAGTTAACTGTGGCTATAAGATGGTCTCTCGTGTCCTTGTACACTGTGTGAATATTGGTTAACTCCTCGTATTTAACTCGATGTTTTCATATCAAGCTAATTCTCCTAGGGAAGTACTACTTCTTTACTTAAAAAAGAATCACCCATCAAAACAATTACCGTTAAAGATTCTTTTCCTCAAAGAAAGAATGAGGCATTGTTACAGTGACTAAAAATTTTATTATGACACACACACACACAAAAACGCATTGATTTCTTTCTCATTTTTCTTCCTCTTCCTCCTCCTTTTTTTTTTTAAATAAACAATCCTTTCTCCTTAGAGTATTAAGAGCAGGGAATACATGCACATAAGGAAGACATTCTTAAAAGTTGGGGCTTTGTTTTTGTAATTATTTCTCTATCCAGTGAAGGATACTTTGATGGCTTTCCAAATGAATAACTCTAATCATTTCTAGCAGCTTCTGCAAAATTTTTATAATGAGGCAATCTAGTCATAATGAGCTCAAAACATAATAAAATTCTGCACTGAGAGGGGTGCGGATTTGTTCGTACGTAGCCTTAATGGTAAGATAAAGAGGTTCGATTTCATTTGCTTCAAGGTCAGCAAGCATTCGAGGTTATTTATTTATACCCATAAATAACCTGATTTGGACTTAAAAATATCCTATTTTCCTATCACTAGCCATAAACACAATCAGGTTAAGTTTCACTGTATTCTTTTGAGTACGACGTTTTTTAAATTCCATTTTTCAAACTCCCTAATCCTGACTTCAAAATACTTGCCATATTACAGGGGGAAAAAAATATATTCTGGAGGTTTTGTTTATTCTCCAATTTTAATACCTCCGAAGAGAATGAATTTTAAAAAAAAGAGGGGGAGGGAGCAGTATTTTTTTTAACCTAGGACTGTGTTATAAAGATATTTTTCAACCACCACTCAGAAACAATCCCAACCTGCATTTTTTTGGCCCTGTCATCAGAAATACCAAAGCCATAAAATGTACTTTTGGAGGCTATTTAACATGGAATACAGAATCTACCCTGTTATAAGCTGTAGACACACACGTGTGCGTACACACACACACACACACACACACACACACACCCTTTGCGAGATCAAAGACCAGGAGAGAGCCGGCACTTAATTCATCAGCCTTCCCCGACCAGAGACAGTTTTCGTCATTTCAAAAGGCTCAGATGTCTTTTATGACAAGCCGGGCCTGCAGTTTAATTTACAAAACAGAATCCCAAGCCAGCGAAGTCTCGGCGAGGCCCGGGCCCGGGCCGCACGGCGTGGGTTTCCCTCCCCGCCGCCCCCAGCAGGCCCGGGAAGATGAAACACGCAAACCGAAATAATTTAGGGAAAACAAATAAATGTTTCAGGAACGTCGAGGGGGATCAAAGGCAGCATTTGCTGACCCCGCCGGTCCCCGCATTTCTGATGAGATTGACCGGGGCCATCGGATCATTAATTAAAAGGAGCGGCGCTGGCAGGTGGCGGGGACGCGCTGCCGGTAATTGGCTCCCTTCTCTTTCCTTCAAAAACTCTCTCTCTCTCGTTCTTTGGCAAGACATGCCACCAGGCAGACAGAAATGCCTACTTTGTAAGATAATGATGAGGATGAGAGGGAGAGGCGCCCGTTTCAAGAAACGCTGCCTAATGAAGGCGCCCGGCTTTTTAATTATGGTCCTGCGTCTCCCCAGCGGCCAAGGAGGGAAACAGGACACGCAGACCCGCACGGATGCCTCGCACACGCGCGGCCCCTTGATCTCCGAGTTTATGAAAGTGGGGGGACTCGCTCCCGGGAACTCGGGGCGCAGGAGAAGCCATGGATGTACGGATCCATGGGCACCACCAAGGGCCCTCCCGGACTCACCACATCACTGGGGAGGTTGTCCAAGTCGTGAAACGGGGACTCCAAAGTGTTCGTGTCCACGTTTAACATCACCACGTCCTCCAGCGATTTGTTCTTCACTCTCTGTTGAAAACACACGGTGATCAATGAGACAGCTCAGTGCATCGTCCCTCCAGAATCTGCCGAGCTTGGAAATGTAGGGAAAAGTATCTGAAGGCATGAGTCTGGGGCAGTGGTCGGCAAACTCATTAGTCAACAGAGCCAAATATCAACAGTACAAAGATTGAAATTTCTTTTGAGAGCCAAATTTTTTAAACTTAAACTATATAGGTAGGTACATTGTTATTCACTTAATTAGGGTCCTCCTAAGGCTTAGGAAGGGCCACACCCAAGGGGCCAAAGAGCCGCATGTGGCTCGTGAGCCACAGTTTGCTGACCACGGGTCTAGGGGGAAGAATTAAGGGAAAGTCCTGCGTCATAAAAAGAATGCAAACAACTTTGCTTTATGAGGAAAAATAGCTCCAATCTGACCATTCAAAAAGGTTGGGTTGAAAATGCTTAACTAGAATGTTTGCTCATCTCAACATACTGATGCAGTTTGGAGACAATGACCATGATTTAGCTGCCAAAGATATCTCACGACGAAGACGTACAAAGTGGGCATGGTTATGTTGAACTGTGAAAAGTTATCTTCTTTCAATTTGGTCAACTGGATTTCGGTCTTTGATACAGGAACGTGGGTCCGGTCCTATACCTATTTTTTTTTTAGCATAAATCATAATGTAGGTCTAAGATAAGCCAACCGAAGTTTATAGCAGTCAATGTTTTCTCTATATTTCCATTTCGATTTGGTATAAGTTTATGATGACGACAAAGTCAAATAAAAAAAAAAGACAGAGAGGGAAGTAATATGGAAGTCATTCTTAGTATTTATCCCATGAATTTCAACATAAAAGATCAGATTTCATAGCCTATCAAATTAACCAGTTGACTTATTTATTTGTTTGACAGCTTAGTCAATTGGCCAAATTATCTCAATATGTATACAAATAATAGTGAATTAGAATTTCATCAAATTTTTCATCCTTAAAGAAAGAAAATATTTACAGTTTATGTTTCCTATTTAATTTAATATGTATACTTAAATCATATAATTCTATCGGTCTTTAATAAGTGATAGCACCTAATCTTATTCCCTAATGCAAATAAGGTGTTCATTAATAAAATTTATCCACCAACTCAGAACTCCATAATTGTATAGGTCAACTAGCAATAGGTCAATTAACTTCAGCATCATATTTTTAAAGTGACATTCTAGAATAATAGCCATTTTTGAGAATTATGAAATACTTTAAATTTGAAATTGGCCAGACCAATTATTTTGTTTTAAAGTTGGGCAGGACTAAAATTTCTCTGATTCATTTAGAATTTCAAATCTCTGCGTATTAGATAGAATTTTAAATTTGCTAGCAAAATGGTCGTCTTTAGTACAGAATTCTCCTGTGTGAAGAAAGCCTTAATGTCCATGTGGAATATGGACTTGCAGGGCAACACATGATTCTAAAAATCTATCTTGTAAAAGACATAATAAATCTAAAGTAAGACTCAGAACATGGCCATTTCTAAGAAATTAACAGAGAATCACTTAGAATAGCGATACTATGACAAAAACATTTATAAATACACTCATTTCCTTTCCTTTCCATGTGTACACATTTCTGTAAAGAAGTTTACATTCATAAATATGTAGTTATCTACAAATGATAGCGTAACTACAAAATAACCTGTTTTATAAGCAAAAATATATTTATATGAGTGGCATTTTTGAGGGAAAACTATGTCATAATTTTGATTTCCATCTTCAATTCTAAGTTGTCCTTTTCACAGAAACTGCCAAGTTAATCCACAAACCTGATACGTTTTTTTAAAAGAATGAAAACAGCCTAAAATAATGACTATGTGACCCCAAAATGTTTTGTGATGACACCAACAATAAACTCTGAATAAAGGAAGTCAGTGTTAATATGAAAAGTAGTCTTTTTTTGCAGTTGTTAGTTTTAAAAGGTCCGACAAAAGCTGGATGTTAAATTTTGTTCACCCAAAAAGGATGGGAAATGTATTTATTTTAAGAAATCAACACATTCAGAGCCCCTAAAATAAAAGCAATTTTATATTTTTAAAAATATACTATAATTTAAATATCTTTTTCTAAAGTTGGAGTCATGTGAGGATTTTACCTATGTTTTCCCTCCAAACCAGGCTTCAGCTATTGTTTCTTCTAAATAGAAGTGGCGAGTCATACTGCCTATAAAATGGTTCCACTTTCATATTCCTTATATCATAAAATTCATGCTTGTTTAGATGGAAAAAGAATAAGGAAATACAAAAAGATGATTTTTCCTTTTACTTCAAAAATAAGAAAATGAGCCCGGCTGGGGTGTGGCTCGGTGGTTGAGCATCAGCCCAACAAAGGAACCAAAGAGTCACGGTTCGATTGCCGGTCAGGGCACATGCCTGGGTTATGGACTCCATCCCCAGTGGGGGGCGTGCAGGAGGCAGCCAATCCATGATTCCCCCTCATCATTGATGCTTCTCTCTCTCTCTCTCTCTCTCACTCTCTCTCTCTCGATGCTTCTCCTCTCTCTCTCTCTCACTCTCTCTCTCTCTCTCTCTCTCTCTCTCCCTGTCCCTTCTTTTCTGAAATCAATAAAAATATAATAAAAATAAAAATAGAGCACAAGGTGTTGAAGGTGGTCAGCCTGCCTCCCATCCTCGCGAGAGGACGCTTCCGGGCAATGAGGCTAGAGTGGATGGACAGGAGCATCGATGCTGGAAGATGCCACCAAGGCTGCAGCCCCCTGGGCTTGTGCAACAGGGTAAGCATGTTCTACAGAATCCTCTGTGCGCTCACACGGTCCACATGACCCTCCCATTGGCGGCCTCGACTCATTTATTCCTAATCGCTTACAGGCCTTAGCCAGCCTTGGGTTCATCCCTCAAGTCTAATTTTTCAGGCAGAACAAAATGTCCTTATCCTTTATTTTGGAAAGAGAGCTCCACTGTCAAAAGAGACTGCTAGCCATCTTTTATACCCAGGATTGCATAAAAAGAATTAAAAGGGAGATTTAAAAGGTCATTCATTTCATGGCTTTGAACGACTATGTTTACAAGTCTTGAACTGCCTTGACTGAAAGAGAATAAGAGAATATGTGATTCTTCCTTAAAAAAAAATCCGTTGTAACTGCAGCCAATTAAGATGCGAAAAATTACTCCCTTCAGCCTCACCTAGAAAACATGTAAGTAGATATACCTACGTTTTAATTATAATGACATTTATATAAAATTTAAAAATTTGGTGAAAAAAATCTGCCAATAATGACACGGTAAGAATGGAATTGGAGCTTGCGTATCATCTCGTAATAGATTAAGGAGAAAGTTACTAAACGGTGCCCAACTAGTATAAAACATACCTACCGTTCCTGTTGTACTGTCTCACTCACGATGAAACCAAATAATGGTTCATTAAGAACTAAAAGTTTTCCAGATTTAAAACTAACCATGTGATTTCTACCATATGTAACCTATTTTCATGGGTTTCCTGCCATTGAAGGTGCTCATTTCGTATAAAAATTAAAATGATGTTACTTCAATGTTACCTTTTTAAAAATGGCCAAGTGAGTATGATATTAAACTAGTCACTGCTCTGTACTAGTCAACTGATATTCTTCCAAAGCACAACTGTGTTAACTATGATTTTTATCAATGAATTGATCACTATCGTCTGACGGATACTCACCTCTATGAGGCTAGAGTGTACTCCAATCAGGTATGGCATCGGAGCGCTGAATTTAAAAAACGGTACATTCATAGTTGATTAAAACTGAAACAACATACGCAGTTCTGCATGCTTAAACTATTACTTAAACGCACAGTGCTAACGTAGCATAGTCTAGGTATGTTAAATTATTTTCTATATACAATTCAAATTGAAAGTTAAGGTTGATTTATATAAAAAAATCACAAAATCATTTCTAAGTAAATCGAGAAGCGGAATACCTTAAAAAAACTTTACCGATTAAGAATATTAGGGTCGAGGTCATAACCTGAGTTGAATCTTTTCCATATACTTCATGTCAAATATATCACAAATAATCATCAAATGTATTCATATTTCTTTTGTACTTCTTGTTATCCAATTAGATCCTCAGTCCTATGATTTTCTTAATATATCATTTTTTCACCCCTACATCAGCAACATTTTTTGAGTCAGTCAGTACCAAATACTTATGGAGCCCTACTATGCACCGGGCAAAGTTCTTCCTCACTGCCATCATCCTATTTCTGTCCTGTCCTTCCACTCGTGTGCCCTTGTCTTTTCATTCAAATATCATCCTTTCCTTTTTATCCCACATTTATATTTATTAATAGAATAATTTTAACAAATTAGAAAATATGCAAATAAGTTTAAGAATAATATTATATTAAACTAATTAAAATATGGAAAGCCCACCAGGTGCCCTGGTCCAGGGCCTTGGGTCCGACAAGTAAACAATATGGACCGAATATACTCCCCTGGGGGTCATATGGAAAGCCCACCAGGTGCCCTGGTCTAGGGCCTTGGGTCCGACAGTAAACAATATGGACCGAATATACTCCCCTGGGGGTCTCATACTCTAGCGGAGAATAGAGTCATTCAATAATTTTTGTAGCACATACCATCAGACGCACCACTAACTCAAAAACAGTTCTCACGAAACAGAAGAAGGAAATTATTCAACTTGACATTGCAAAATTAAAATTCTACTTGACAAGAAACCATGAGAATGGGCAGATGTCTACAAAGGTGACAGGAAATACCCAAATACACAGCTACTTAAAAATAAAACACTTTTCAATATGTTCGTACTGACTTCAGAGAGAGGAAGGGAGAGGGAGAGAGAGACAGAAACATCCATGATGAGAGAGAAGCATGGATCGGCTGCCTCCTGCACGCCCCACACTGGGGACTAAACCGGTGACCTCTTGGTTTATGGGTCAATGCTCAACCACTGAGCTCGCGAAATCTGCCCCTTTTGGGGGAAGAAGACATCGCCTTCAAAGGTGAACCAGCCATAGGTGAACGAGGAAGAACAACTATCATTTTATTGGTGCTGGAGTTGCCCCGCCTCCCGGGTGTGTAAGGACTCACACAGGCGAAGCCCTTCCGCCAACATCACAGACTCGCCCGGGTTCGAGACCTCTCTGTTGAGACGTGACATGCGCCCCTTGTGTACCGAACTGTTAACCTGCTAACCGACCACAGGGGGTCGTTCAGTAGATCGCTAGAACTAAGTCACCTTGCAGAACTGATGCCCGTGGACTAGCAACTCCCAGCCCTGGCCGGTTTGGCTCAGTGGATGGAGCACCGGCCCTAGACTGAAGGGTCCTGGGTTCGATTCCAGTCAAGGGCAAGTACTTGGGTTGGGCATGTGCGGGAGGCAACCAATGGATGTGTCTCATCGATGTGTCTCTCTCTCTGTCTCTCCCCCTCCCTTTCACTCTCTCTAAAACTGAATGGGAAAATATCCTTGGGTGAGAATGAACAACAAAAACAAACAGAAACTCCCCATTTTCTCCTCATACTGGGAGATGGAGGGGAAGAGGCAGATGGTGTCACATGACCCTAGGAGCCCCTCCCCATCCGGGTAGGCCAGTGGTCGGCAAACTGCGGCTCGCGAGCCACATGTGGCTCTTTGGCCCCTTGAGTGTGGCTCTTCCACAAAATACCGACTTCTGCACTTGGGCCACAAAGTTTCAATCGAACTGTACGTGCGCGCCCACACGTGGTATTTTGTGGAAGAGCCACACTCAAGGGGCCAAAGAGCCGCATGTGGCTCGTGAGCCGCAGTTTGCCGACCACTGGGGTAGGCCATGGGGACCTCTTCCTCCTATGTGACTCCTAGGTGTCCCCATCCATGTCCCCTTTATACACCTCTGACATTCACCTCGCAGAATTACAGTGTTACACTGTGCCCTGCGTGTGTGTGCATGTGCGTGTGTGCGTGCATGTGTGTGTGTGTGCGTGCGTGTGCACATTGGTGTGAATTCCTTCCCATCTGGGAACCCCGCAAGGGCAGACGTTAAGTCTTATTCCTGACATGACAGACGCACGGCTTGGCAAACAGGTGCTCGCTACACGGTGGACGTACAAATGGACGAGGGAGTGAATGGAGGCGCCAGCACCCTGGGGAGCCTTTACCGGCGGACCCCGAGGCGAGGTTCCCCCACGGGCACGGGGTGGCAGCCCGGCCCTCACAGCCTACGCCATCAGAGACACCCAGTGCGAAAGCAAAGGCCCTTCCAGGCGCGAGGAGGGCCCTGGGGTTGGGAGGGTGGGCGCATACACCCCACCGCTCTCGCTTCCTGCTGCTATTTCTGAAGTGGCATCTAAACCATGGACTGGCAGGCGTGGCCTCTGACATCCGTCTCCCTTCCGCATGCCCACCAGTCTGACTAGAACCGTCCGCAAGGACACAGAGAGGGAAGTCACGCTCCCCAGAAAGTAGCTGGGTCCGTAGAATTCTCTGACATGGAAGACAGCTCACATCTTCGAGGGCTGGACCTCAATACACGGCTATGTCCTCCTGCCCCACCCCCTGAGCCCATCCTCGTGGCCTGGACGCTCAGAAGTGTTGGTCATCTCCCCTGCACCCCCCACCCAGGGCCAGGGGACAGTCTGGCGTGAGAACTTGTCCCAGAGGCTCCTGAAGGGGCTGGAACCCAGTCAGAAAACTCCAGAGACGAAGCCAGGAAACAAGCTCCCTCCGTTACCATGGAAACAGCAGGAAGAAGGACTGGGGGGCTGGCTTAGCGAAGACTGGGATGGCCCCCCAGGAAAGCACTGCTTGGCCCCTTCTTAAAAGCATGTTCCACACTTGTTGCTAATCCCCAAAGCAGGATCCGGCGCGTCTGGGCACGTATGTGCACATCAAGCTTCCCGTGGCTCAGTGGGTGAGTGTCAACCTAGGAACCAGGAGGTCAGGGTTCGATTCCCGGCCAAGGGCACAGGCCAGAGGTGCCAGCTCGATCCCCAGTAAGGGTGTACAGGAGGCAGCCGATCCACAATTCTCTCTCATCATGGATGTTTCTATCTCTCTCTCCCTCTCTGAAATCATATTTAAAGGAAGATGAGGAGGAGGAGGAGGAGGAGGAGGAGAATAGGGAGAATAAGAAGGAGGAGAAGGAGAAGGAGAAGGAGAAGGAGAAGGAGAAGAAGGAGGAGAGGAAGGAGAGGAAGAAGGAAAAGAAGAGGAAGAGGAAGAGGAACTGGGCTTTCTCCCACGTGACCCCGGGTCCGGGAGCCGCCGGGAGCCGGCGGGGGCGCTCACCAGCAGTAGTCCAGCAGGTGCGGCGGCAGCACGGGGATGTAGATGTGCTGCCAGAACATGGGGTAGAGCAGCGCGGCCGATCCGTGCAGGCAGGCAGTCAACTGCGAGATGGAAAGGGACACACAGTGAGGAGCAGGCTCCCTACAAACACAACACCATCCCCCCCGCCCCTGTTCCCCAAGACGATCATAACACATCCCAACTGCTCTTGTGACCTCCACCCTATGACCTCTACCAATTCCACACACAACACGCCTTCCATTTCGGAAGCGCCCCTCCCTGAAAACACACAGCCTGTCAGCAGCTTAGGAGGTTCTTGGGGGTCTCAGGGAGACATGTGTCTGAAAATACAGTGTTTGGGGGTCAACACGAAGCCCATGGACACAAAGATCAGGTGGGCGCCGTAGGGGAAACGGTGGGACCCGACGGCTGGGCATGGCTGGGACTCGTGCTCCGCGATGAGACGTGGAGGGAGGGGGGGGAGGCTCCGGAGGGAGATCGTTAGGGCAAATTGCCAAAGCGTGAAA